ATACGGAAGATCCGGACTTCTCGTGGGCGACGCTAGATGGCGCTACGTGCGCTCAAGCGACAATCCTGCTGATATTCTCTCGCGAGGAGCGGACATTTCGGAGAGAGCAACCGCCGACTTATGGTTCCACGGGCCACAGTGGCTACACCTCACCAGCTCAGAGCTGGAAAGAAAAATGGAATTCGATCGAGCGGCCAGGCCGCAGAGGAACGACGAGAATCGAGACGAAATTCGACACGAGATGAAGAGCAGCATCGTTTCACTGCTAAACGCATCCAAAGCAGAGCCAAGAGAACGAATTTTCTTCGAGAACAACTTCTCCTGTTGGTTGAAAGCGATTCGCTTTTGGGACGTTCATGCTTCGCCTAAGAGAAAAGGCTCTCGCGGCTCGGCTAAGAACTCAGACGCAACGATAGATGTACACCGAGAGCTCAGAGCAAGCTGAACACAATCGACGCAACAGAAATGTCGACAGCCAGGCTGAGCCTCATCAAACTTATTCAACAGGAATATTTTCCCGAAGAAATCAATTCAGACAACATCAGGGTCAGACCCAAGAGCATTCTCTACCAATTCAACCCGTTCAAGGGCGATGACGGCCTGCTCCGCTGCAGGACTCGGCTAGAATTCGCTCCGGAGTTGTCACAGGAACAGAAATTTCCGATCATCCTCCCAGCGGACTGTAATCTCTCCAGACTTATCGTCAGATACATCCACGAGAAGAAATGCCTACACTCCGGAGGCGTTTCCGGCCTTCTACATATTCTCAGAGAAGAATTTCTCATTATTCACGCAAGGAAACTAGCGAGACAGGTCATCTCCTCTTGCGCTACATGCAAAATCTTTCACGGCCAGGCCGCAAGCCTCCCAATGGCTCCGTTGCCAGCGTTCAGGCTGGAAACGGCCCCACCATTCTACCACACAGGTTGTGACTTCGCCGGCCCCATAAAATACAAGAACGATTCAGGCGAAAAAGCGAAAAGCTACATTCTCCTTTTCGTATGCGCGGTCACCCGAGCGGTCCATCTCGAGCTAACAACCGACATGTCGACCTCAGAGGTCCTCGGTGCTCTACAAAAATTCGTGAACCGATACCCGTCGGTGACCACGATCACTTCAGACAATGGCTTATCGTTCCAGAGGACAGCAAAGGAACTCAAACTCCTGTACGATCACATCATCAACGGAGAAATAAAGAAATGGCTCGCAGACAAATTCATCAGATGGAACTTCATAACTCCGAACTCCCCTTCGCATGGCGGCTTCTACGAGCGCCTCGTGCAATCGGTCAAGCGACCGCTGAGGAAAGTTCTCGGAACATCAGTTCCCCACTTCCGGGACCTGGAGGTGATTCTGAGCAACATCGAGCTGATGATAAATAAACGCCCGATCACGGCGGTAGCATCAGGTCTCGACTCCACAGAAGCCCTCAGCCCGATGGACCTTTTGCACGGTTATCGAGGAGATACATTCTTTCCGCAGCATGCGGCCAACCCGATGAGAACCAAGGATTCGGACAAGATAATTTTCTCCAGGAGATGGACCTACCAACAGAGGATCCTAAACTCATTCTGGAAAAGATTCCACCGCGAATACCTGAGCTACCTAAGATCTGCTCATAACAGACTCCCCATTCCGGCCAGGCCGCTGAAAATCGGCGACATTTGTCTGCTGGAAGATTCGAACGCCAACCGGGCGTATTGGCCCCTCTGTAAGGTCATAGCACTCAAGAACGAGTCCGCACCTGAAAAATCGAAATCATGCACAATCAAGACGGCCACGGGCCAAATCTTCAACCGTCCCATCACGAAACTCTTCCCGATAGAGCATTCCCAGCCGAACTAGGCATTTCTTGAGAACCGACCCGATCTCCCAAAAAGTAAAACTGAGTCTTAATCACACAGACATTTATTTTGTCGAAGAAATAATTTGGAACACATTGGAGGAAGATTTAACTCCTGCCGGAACGCCTGGCGTTCCGCAAGCTGACCAGAACATCGGCCAGGCCCGGAGAAAGCTGGGCCGGCGGACGGCGTCGAACACGCTGGACAGGAGCCGGTGGGGTAGGCGGCAACACATATTGCCCGGTCCGGGGGTCGACCGGCCTTGGCGGCCGCTCATGTTGCGGCGCGATGCGAGGATCCTGGATCAACTGCTGTAGATAGGCTCGCCGCCTTTCGTTTCCCTCGGCTATCTCGTCAGAACCATGGATATCCGGCCAGGAGATGTTAATCGGCTCACGATCGAGAGGCACCGTGAGTTGATGGGATTCGCCAGTCTGCATATTATCCAGAAGCCGAAGGTAGGCACCGGCATGGGCCGCAAAGAGTGGTGGACGATAGCGGAACTGTCGGCTCAACAGGGGCTCCGGCGGCCGAGTGGTCGTTCTCCTTAAGAGAAAACGGGAGGAATCCCTGAACGGCTGCCGTTCTTCGTCAGTAAGGTCAAACCAGAAATGCCTTGCAATGTACTGACAATCGCGAACGCGAAGATGTGTATTCTTCAGATCATTCTCCAACAACAGCTTGTAGACCAAGCCAAGAGGGGTGAGAAAGTAAGGATGTCCAGATCTGCGGGCTCCTGGAGCTTCTTCAGCCATTCTTCAAAGATGAGGAACACACTCGATCACAGATCCTTTTCCGACGAGACCGCGCATGGAAAGGAATAATCGGATCAGCGCACCAGAGAGCAGAACTTGCCGTCAGGCGGCGCGATCTACATTGGCGCGAGTTTTCGAAGCGGGGAGCAGTGGTCCCTCTAAGTCGCAACTTGCTGGTCAACAGAATTCCGCGGCTCCTCGTGGAGTCTTCCGGAATTCGGGGGGACTGTCACGGACGGAGGTAGCCGTCGCGTCACAGCTTGCAGAAACACACACCTCGCCCAATCAGTACACCATACAATCAGCACATAACACACAGAGAGATCGAGTCGGGAACGAGTAACTGTCATTCATTTATAAATATTCTAATTCAGTCGGTTAAATCCGTCCATCCATTGTCCAGGACAAGCAGTCCTATCTGTATTATATTTATGAACTTGAACTTCAATATATAAGCACTGGGGTGTGGACGCGCATAGGTACGTCATCAGTGCAGCACTGGCTTCTCCAGAGCTGAACGTCAGCCGCTCTCGCGTCAGCTGGCTCTCCATCAGCTGGTCGACAGCAGTGAGATGTCGAGCGCGCAGCGGCGGCTCCAGAAGCGATAGCGGCGCCAGGCGCAAAAAAAAACAACACAATTCATCACGATAACGAGGCAGCCTCAGCGCTCCTCGGAATCTCAGTACGGGTTCAAATCCCGAGTGTTTTTCTCAAGTGATCAGATCTCGATCGGAGGTTTCAATCCCTCCATCGTTGACATCCCACCATCTCCAGGAGATTCCCGTCACTACGGATCTCTCCAAGAGAAAAGATTGTTTCGCGCAGCGCACTCCACGTGAATTCTTCAAGTTCAATCCCTGTGTTTTCATTTCCTGCGGCTCAGAACCGCGATCGGGTGATCGTTCGCCACATTACGCGTTCCGCTTCGATAAAGTTTACTGGGCATAGTCTGATGCTCTGGAGCTGTCGTTACTATCTTTTGTGTACCCGAAAAGTGAATAGAAAGAAACTTAAGAACCTGCCACTAAGCCACTGAGAAACTGGCAGAAAAGTAGCAGTAACGACGAAGGATGTCGTATTCCCAAAGGAAAGTCCACTGAGCAGTGGCAGTGCGCGTAATGAAGAAAATGGCGGAACCCATCCAACGTCTCCAGAAAATCCAGAAAGTGTTCCAGCCGGTTACACTAGTGAACAATCAGTGGAGCAGCCTGGACCGAGCAACCAGCAGGAGCAGAGTGACCTACCAGGTGATATCAAGCAGAATCATGAAACACCGACCGAATCACCGCAGGCGAGTGATTCACGAGGAAACGAGAGCAACCTACGCTCCCGACTGAAGATGGTCAAGTTAGTACGAGGAGAAGATATAGGAGACAGTCCGAACTCAATCCTGAACGTCTAGCTTCATTCAGACCTCGAGCAAAAAGAAACAATAGATATGAAGTGAGGCTTCCAGCTGATATTTCCATAGCGAATATCAGCGATTCAAACCAGATGAACGAATCAAACTCATATGAACAAGCTATAAATTCTGAACAACGTCAGGAATGGCTAGAAGCCATGGAAGCCGAAATGAACAGCATGACGGCATTGAACGTGTGGACTCTGACCACGCTACGACCTGGACGCAGGAGTTTAGGCTGTCGGTGGGTTTTAAACGTAAAACGAAATGCTGACGGAAAGATCGAAAGATGCAGATCGAGAATCGTTTCATAAGGGTACGCTGAAGAAGCTGGCATCGATTATAAGTAGAGCGCGAATCTTCATGCGCTAAAAAAAAGCGAAATATGCATGCGTTTATGCTCATAGAACTGCCGAAATAAGCCCTTACGAACAGGATATATGTGCGCATGATTTATTGTAGAATAGACACTGATTTACGTTCTTTTGGAGTCCCTTCGTCCGATCTCCATCTGATACACGACTATGAGGTATCAGGGGAGTCATCGGTTACAATAAGCTACTACAACCATTTTTAAATTTTCGAATTTAAAGCTCTGGCGCCGATCACTAAGTATGTATTTGAGCGCCGAGAAAGTCCTCTCGACGTCGACCGAGGTTAAGGGAGCATACTTGTACAAAGCGATTTCGGAGGGCTCAATGCCTTCGGGACAGTCTGTTGAGAGGCCGAGGAGTACATCTGCGATGCCCTTTAGTTTTCCGTAGCCGTGATTCCTTGAGAGGATCCACTCGCATTTCTGTCGAACTCGTTCCCCGAATGCGCCAGGCGTCCGCTGGACTTCTGCGATGAGACCTTCAAAAACGCCCATGCTATCGACGAGAGATGCTCCATTCCTCTCCAGTTTCTCAATCGCCTCAGGTATGCTCCCAAAGTGAGCCTTGATCACCGCGAGTTGGCTCTTGATGCCGTCCTCCTTCAGGAGCTGTTGAGCCGAGCTAATGCTCGCTGCATCTCTTGGATCTAGTGCATTCACGACCGCGGAGAATGCGTCGAGGTGATCGGCGTAATACACAGCGGCCTTAAGCCAAGTCCCCCATCTCGTTAGAACCGGCGCGGCGCCGGTGGAAGAGGTGTGTTGGGAGACATTTCGCGAAACAAGGTCACCCGGGCTGCCGATTTGAGGAAGACTTTTTTTCCGTTCGATATGAGTCTGTCGACTTCATGGAACATGGAGCGTATGTCTTCCGCGATTCTGTGGAGCGCATGTGCGGCGCAAGTGACATGCAGCATTTTCGGGAAAAGCACTTGGAGAGCAACAACAGCCTTCTTCACGTAGGCTGCACCATCGCTGACAAACAGCAGGACCCTCTCATGCTTGACCCCACCCGGCCACAGAGTCGTCAATGCGTTCATAAATACTCGAGCGATGGTTCTGCTGTTAGTCCTTTCGAGGTTTTCCGCATGCAGGAGGAAGGTTCTGCTCTCTGTGCTATCCAGAGTTCCGACGATTGTATGTGCGATAAAGCGACCCGTTGCATCGGTCGTTTCATCAATAGAAATCCATACAGCTTTCTCGGCCACAGAATTCCTGATGAACTCAATTTTTCTCTCGTAGATAATCTTGACATAATTCAATCGCAGGGTGGCTGAGCACGGGACGGCGCCGACCTTCACGCAATACTTCTCGAGAAATTGCCGGAATTCCGTCGAGTCTAATTTACGAAGAGGTATCCCGGCAGACAGGAGGGCGCTGCATAAGTCGACGTTGAACTGAGATTTCTTCCCAAACGCTTCCATGAAGGGTCCCAATTGAACCACGTTCAGTGAATTAGTAGATTGCTTCCCTGTCTCCAAGGCTTTATGTTTGCTACCCTTCACATGCTGGTCCACCAGAAACTTCGACTTTGCCGGAACTTCCTTCTGACATATTTTGCACAGGAGAACTTGTCCGTCAGTTGAGAATACTCCACTGCCATGAGTCCTCACGTAGGATTCTAGTTTGGACTCGAGAGATGCGGCGACTTTGGCAATATCCGCTATGAGAGGCGCGAGTTCCACGATGGAAGATCACAATTTCGTTGCTCCTATGATCCAGTAGAGCCTGATCCGAGTTTTTGAACTTCCACCTCTCACGAGCCGGACGGACTCCGGAGTCTCCCGATCGGACACGAATTGATATCGCGGAGACTCTCCGAGAATAGATAGAATTGCCTTTATCCCGGTCAATCCTTCCGCTCGCAGACGGACGCGTTGCGGTCTCTATCCGAATCTCAACGGGGGCAGAGCGTTCAATTCGCAGCATCAAGCGGGCTTACGCGCGAGATCGACAAACGTGGTTGCGTCGAAAACAGACGCCTCTGTATCGATCGGGCTCCGGAAACTCGCTCGATGTCGATAGAACTCTGTGGAGGTTTGCCCGTTCAATCAGATCCTCCACGGGCTCAGAACTATGAGGTTAGCCAAAGGAGGCCCTCGGACGGGCTCTGATGTATCAAAAACAACCTGGATCGAACGAAAGGGAGCGGGCCATACAGAGAACTTATTGGAAGTCTCATGTATCTGTAGTTAGGCTTCAGACCAGATATCTCTTTCATGGTTGCTTATCTATCGCGCTTCTTAGAACACCCGACGAAGAAGAGATGGTCAGAAGGCATGAGAGTTCTTCGCCACCTACGAGGAACAGCCAACCACGGAATAATCTATAAGAGTTCCGAGTTCAATGGATTTCGCTATTTCAGCGCTGCAGTTTCTGCTAGCTGTCCAATCACGAGTAGAAGTGTGTCGGGCTTCCTCTTAATGACCGACTGGACCAATTTTCTTGGGAAGCCACTTGCAAAAAACCCT